AGGGTTTTAGGGTTTTAGGGTTTAGGGTTTAGGGTTTTTGGGTTTGGGCTTAGGGTTTAGGGGTTTAGGGTTTAGGGTTTTAGGGTTTAGGGGTTGAGGGGGTTTGGTATCCCAGTACTCTACATACTAGATTCATGGCTTTAAAGGCGCTTGATAGGAGATCCTGGGAGGGATCCATTTCTTAAAAAATCTTCCCAGGGGCCTGGGCATTGCAAGAAACTTTTATTAGGCTTGTCCAAAGCTTGTCGTGGGGACCTAGACGCCTTTCAAATGTTTGGCCACAAGACATAAATGCTACATAGGGGGCCTAAAGAGCTACCTATACTGTTTTGGGGGGGGTTCCTTTTTCTACTTTTATACTAGAATATACCCCCAAACCCTATATTAGATGTAGGCCCGAAGTTCGAGGCCCCCACGCCCCCGACCCTTGAAAGGATATCCTGAAAACATGAAGGCCTTGAAAAAGGCCTTGGTGAACCCATCATATAATTTAGGGGCCTAAATAATTACCTATATTTTTTTTTTTTTTTGGGGGGGGGGCTCCTAATTAAAATTATTGTACAATGGGCCCCAAAACCCTATTCCAATTGTTAAGGCCGCTACATTAGTTGGATACCCCGTTCGGAGGTCCCACTTCTTCTTGATTTGGTTGAAAATCGAGAAGACTCTCCCTAAACCTCGAAGCTTCAACTAGGACTTTCTCAGAGTACTTACCACGACCGGTGCCCACCATTAAGGACCCTAAGGTCTATATTGAAGGGTACGTGGGGGTTCTGTTAAGGGAAGGTGAGACTCCCTAAATCTTTGGCTTCTTGGACGTTGAAGGTGAGCGTCAGCGCAAGTCTTGGCCAAGAAGATGTGCCCCCAGAATTCTTGCGCCTTGCCTTAGGGACGAGATGAACCCCAAAAGGGTTTAAGGTTCAAACACTGCATAGGGGTTCAAGAAGCATCAGGGACTCAGAAACTCCTGCATTAAGCTAGATCTGAAAGTCCTAGAACTCCTAAACCCTAAATGCCGATCTCCTTAACCCTAAACTCTCAACCCTAAACCCTCATGCTTAGAACTTATGACCTTAAACCCTTAAAGGATCTTAGGATTCCTGCTATGTTTTAAACAACGGGTGGTGCATCTTGGGTAGCTAATGCTTTGAACATTACCATGGATTCCTTGCTTGTGGGCGAAACATGCCAACCAGTATGTGCGGCATAGTACATCAGCAGCTGAATCACTATTCCTCGTCATCCCCAGTTAGCTGCAGAAAGTGTATACTGAGGTATGCAAACGCTGGATTTATGGCCTTCTTCTTGCTGGAGATCGGACTTCGAATCCTCGCCTTGGGATGTCACGATTTCTGGTGGCCATGCGAAAGTGGAAAGTTTGAGAGTCCAATACCCTGAGCTGTAGCGACAGAAACATCCCGGCTGTAGAGAGCCCCCATAAAGCCTTTTGTATCAAACAAACCTTGGGGTTTAGGGTTTAGGGGTTTAGGGTTTAGGGTTTAGGGTTAAGGTGTCACCTGCAGCAATCTCAGGACCACCCAAACAGAATGGATACCCCTAATTGACGCGCAGAACCCAATGGGCTCCAAGCTCTACAAAAAATCCTAAAGTCCTGTCAATAAAACTCCGCACGCCCAGCAAAACCACACGCAGACCCATAACGCCCTACAAAGCGCACATATGACAAAACCCATAACAAGAAACCCTTTAAGCCCGCAAGCCCCAAGCTAGCTGCAAATCCCATGAAGCCCCTCAACGCTGAACCTTAAACCCCAAGCCCTAAACCCTAAACCCTAAACCCTGGTTCCCCTGGCCTCTTCAGGCCTTCGCGGAGGTATATCCTGGATGTGCAGACGCAAAAGAGGGGCTCAAAAAAAACAAAACTGAACCAACCCTAAACCCAAAAGCCTAAACCCTAAACCCTAAACCCCAAGCCCTAAACCCGAAAATCCTCAACCCGAAAATGACCCCCTAAAGCCCAAGGTGGGGCGAGCTCGCCACTTGGAACCGCTTCGACTGCGTGGTGGTCTCCCTCGGCTCAGTGGATCTGGCAGCCCCTCGGCCTCTTTAATATGGGTTTAAGGTTTAGGGTTCAGGTCTCTTAGGCCCTTTTTTATGGGTTTAGGGTTTAGGGTTTAGAATAGTTTAAGGTTTAGGGTTTAGGTCTCTTAGGCCTTTTTTTATGGGTTTAGGGTTTAGGGTTTAGAATAGTTTAGGGTTTAGGGTTTAGGTCTCTTAGAGCTCGGGGCCTTCTTTATGGGTTTTGGGTTCAGGGTTTAGATCTCTTAGAGCTCGGGGCTTTCTTTATGGCTTTAGGGTTTAGGGCCTAGAATAGTTTAGGGTTTATAGTTTATAGGGTTTATGGGAGGGTTTAGAATAGTTTAGGGTTTATAGCTTATAGGGTTTATGGGAGGGTTTGGAAAAGTTTAGGGTTTATAGTTTATAGGGTTTATGGGAGGGTTTAGAATAGTTTAGGGTTTATAGTTTATAGGGTTTATGGGAGGGTTTGGAATCGTTTAGCGTTTAGGGCTTGATAACTCGGTTCAGGGCTTCGGGTTTCATGATGATGTTCAGGTTCGCTTCGACGCTTTGCAAGGTGTCTATTGCGTTTATGTATGTGTGTGTGTGTGTGTGTGTGTTTTCCTTTTTGTAAAGGCTGTGCATAGGATTCTAGAGGTTTGAGTCACGGGATCTAAAAAGGGTGTTGGCCGCTCGAAAACCTGAACCATCTCGCCGGACTTCGAAGCCTCAAAGCTCTCCAAAAAGGAAATGATTCTACCTAATATAGGGGCCTTTATACTTAGAATAGGGCTTTGGGGTATATTATACTTTAATCAATAAGGAACTCCCAATTCTAATTACTAAGGTCCCTACATTCTAGCCTCCATTGCAGTTCCTTTTTTTGCTTATTCGAGTTCTGGGTTTAGGGTTGAACCAAGTCTATATACACGATTCTCGAGCGTAGCCCAAAAAGGAGCTACAATGGAGACTAGAGAAGAAACCCACATGACCCCACAAAAGATGCGCTTGGCCCGTAGAGTGAGCACAGTTCCAATACAAGGGGATACTCTATTATGGAGGTAGATCCGTCTTTCTATGATGTATGTCATATGTATATATGTACTCATACACGTGTATAGATGTATATACGCACATGTGCGTATATCTGTACCACCCAAGAGACAGTATTGATCAGCAATGCTGTAGTACCTACACAATCAGTTCTCCCATGTATGTAGGAACCTAAGGTCAGCTTCTGGGCGGAGATCACCGCCGCCTCTCTCTATGCCCGGTCGGTGCGGATGACTCACATCCTTCGCGTGGCCCATGCACTGCGTTCGGTCCTTAGTGCTTTCCTTTAATGGGGTTTAGGGTTTAGGTACATGACCCAGGCGCATCAGGTATTGATCACGCCAATTCATGGTTTAGATTTGGATACGCCGTAAATAGCAGGGCTTCTCTAATGTATCCCAAGATGCACTAAGGTTCGGTCAGAGTCGTGCGCTTCTTTCGGTACCGTACGCCGTTGAAGGCCTTGGTGCTTTCTATCTTCAGCACGGTGATGCCCCTCATTTGGACACTTGTGCTCCTGCTGATCCTGCTCTACAGCTTTAGTATTGTGCTGACACAACTGGTGGTAGATGACTGCAGATACAGGACTGTTGAGGCGACAGGGGATCCGAATGCGATCCCTATTTGTGCGGAGCACTTGCAACGCCATTGGTCTACTGTCCCAGAGAGCATGAACAGCCTTTTCATGGGCATCACAGGCGGCATTGAACCTGAGCTTTAAAGTACTGCTTGTCCTGCTAGAGGGACGATAGCAGGCATCCTGATATTAAGAGACAGCAACAGTATGATGGGGTAAGCAAGCGGTCTACAGTATATCACCTGCTCACGGTTGACGGAGTTGAACAACTTGAAGGTCTGCGCATTCCTCATTCTTGATGTTCTATTGGTAACAGTGGTCATCCCGAAGGGAAAGACGATGCTCCAAATAATACTCCGGGGTCTACCAGTCACCGCCAGCCACCCGCCCCAACTACAAAACTCCAACAGAAGCCCTGTAGCGACTTCTTCGCAGCGGTAAGAAAAGAAGCTTGTCGAAGTATTTTGCCCCTAAACCCTAAACCCTAAACCCTGAACCCTAAACCCTAAACCCTAAACCCACAAGCGACTGAGCATAGGAGTGGGACGAGCTGATGAGACCTTTGCGGGATGTCAGTGTCGCTGCTGTCTGCTCGCTTTATGTCTTCATCCTGATCGTAGCTTGGTGTTTGGGTTGTAGGGTGTAGTGTTTCAGGTTACTTGGAGGTTCATGGGTAGTCATAAATAGGGTTATAAGTGGGGTAACTATAGTTATAACCTATATTCGCGGACTTGTAACTCCACTTACAACTACCCATGAACCTCCAAGTAAGGGTTTGCTGCTTAAGGATTTTGGTGCCCGGGATTGCATCAGATTTGATGACTTCAACTCTGCAGGTTGTTGTGTCTCCTGTGTGGGTGGGTTTAGGGTTTAGGGTTTAGGGTTTAGGAAAAGCTCATGTTCCTATCCAGGGAATCAAGACAGAAACTTCTTTTTGGACGTTGGCCGTATAGTTTCCTACAAGATTTGTTTTTTTGTTGGATTTCCCTAGGGAAGGGGAAAGGTGCTTTTGATTTGAAGAGCACAGTGTTGGTGTGGAGTGTGTGCTGACGTCGAACCTGAACGAGTTGTTTGGCACGTTCTATTGAAATGCGGCTTTGGTCTTGGTAGTCTTTGAGAGATGCAGAATCCGGGCCTGCCGGAAAAGCTGGTTTGACACGGTATTTACGTTACAGAACGAGGGTCGGTAGTTCATGGGGGGGTTACCATATGTGTGTGTGTGTATATATATATATATATGTTGAGCTACATGGTATTTATGTATTTGTTCATTTGTTGGTTATGATCAAGAGCAGCTGAGGCAGTGTTCGCCGTTTTGAACGTATTAACTGCTCACTTCTGTAACACTGCAATCGAGACTGCCAGCGCAGATCAAGATGTGGCTGTCGTCAGGCATTTGCACGATGCTCGGATGTTCTTTCGGAAAGCAGTCTTCATTGTCTCTTCGTTCAACCTCCCTGCATAAGCGCAACCAATCCCAACAGCAAACCCTTCGTGCAAAACCCTAAACCCTAAACCCTAAACCCTAAACCCTAAACCCTAAACCCTAAACCCTAAACCCTATTTGAAGCTGCCGCTTCTACCTCAGAGCTGCAGAACCCCTTAGATCCTACGCAAACCTTGAGTTCTGAGCCCTTAACTTTACCGCTAAGCCCTAAACCCTAAACCGTGCGTCCCTGCACCCACCGCACCTGAATTTGCTTAAAGCCCCCAATCCTCATGGCCTTGGTGGTCCAACACCCAAGTTTTCAAGTTTCGGGGCTCCTACAACAAGGTAGTCTTAGTCTGAAAGTTTTAGCTTTTTAAACCTTTGGCAAGCCAGTTTCAGGAGCGGCATCAGATTGTGGCGAAGTTCCGGAAGCTCTTTGCGGAGATTGGCGGATCGGAGCGCGTCACGCTACCTGAACCTCGGCACAAAAGGTTTAGGGTTTAGGGTTTAGGGTTAGTGTTAGTTCAGAAGTTTGGCAAACGTGTTCGGGACGTGGCGAGGAATTTACGACCCAAATCTGTAGAAGGTTTTACAAGGGCCATGATTGTCTACAAATCCGTTAAGCTGTACACTGGTCCTTAGTCCGAGTAATCGTGTTCGGGTATTGGACACCCCATAGAATAACGTAGACCTCCGATAAACAGCACCGCCTTCTTCAAGGGCTTTCATGTTACATGAGGATCCCCATCGCAGTCCTGGTGAAGGGAGGGGTCCTTCATAAATATGAAATAATGGGCCTCTTACCTTGGCAGCAATTGGGTTAAGAGACTATGGGGGTCTAAATAATTACCGATACTATTTTAGGGGTCCTTGTTAAAAAGTAACACGCCCCAAACAAGGTTTGGGGGTGGATTTGGACACGAAGCCCTAAACCCTGAACCTCAAGCCCCTTACCCTCAGACCCCTAAACCCTGAAGCCCTTAAGCCCTGAACCCGAGCCCCCAAACCCCCATAGAGCCCTTATGAACCCCTTCAAGATCCCTGATAGAGTCCTTATAGATCCCTTACAGGAACCTTTTAAAGCCCTGAACCCGAGCCCCCAAACCCCCATAGAGCCCTTATGAACCCCTTCAAGATCCCTGATAGAGTCCTTATAGAGCCCTTCAAGGAACCTGTTAAAGTCCTGAACCCGAACCCCCAA